TTCTCCCAAGATTTAAAGTGTATGCACTGTCATACATGTTTCTTTCAAGTACCTCTTCTTGTAGTTGTTTCTTGGTGTTGTTTATACCGTTGTGCTACTTTCTTAAGCAGCGCACACCCCCTCGTTCCCTTCTCTTGTGACAGTTTCAACCAATTGGACCTGCCGGAATACAGCACCAAGGAGCAGTTACAGGAACGACTACTGTTGGCCATTCACGAAGCCAGTGAGGGCTTTGGCTTCGGCTAAGGGGCGAATTAGCTTTGCATTAAATGGTGTTCCTGTGGAGGCGTGATCTCGGTAAATGTAGGAAATATATAGCATTTCTTTGTCACGAAACAGCATCTCATTCAGGAACATTGGAAATGGAGGGATCCATTCTATGAACAGCTGGATTCCTGTAGTACGTACGTTATACAACCAACTGGTTGACGATGTACCCTTTGAGCACGCAAGTAACATACCTGTTCCTTGTAACGGATAGTTGTCTTTTAGTAAGATCCGCCATGTCAGCAATTCCAGCTGTCGTTATGCCAGGGCAGCCACATCGGATAGATCTTTGCCACGCGGAATCTTCTCAACACAGATAGGCACAGAAATGTGGATATGGAAACTCGTGGTTGCGTGTGACATTGCGGCTGACGTGTCAATCGAGCCCCCTTTTGCGCCATTCGAAGCGATTCGCATTGCACACGCGGCATTCGCAAGACTTCTTTCGCAACTCTCGCCTCTGTTGCGAATCTAAACGACATTTCGCTTGTTGTCGCACTTTCCTCCGTCCACCACCAATCCTCCTCGACAGCCATGGCTGCTTCCCAGCCACTCGCTGCTGTAGTGGACTCCCAGCCAGCTGCGTCACAGCAACTCCACGAATTCCGATTCCGGATTCCTGATGGGTGGAGAGAGTTGGGTGGGATTTGGAGTCAGTGGAGATTATCTTGGAACAGACCAAACACATTCAGGCCAGCATCGTCCCCCATAAATAGCCAGAAGTATCTTTTCCCGGGTAATCTGAACGGCGTTTCTTCGCATTTACAGAGCAGCTGCTGGTCTCCTGCTTCCTGCGACTTCCACCTCCCATCCATTTCTCAGACATCCTTTGAGAATGGCTGCTACCGTCGCTACCTCCTCCAAGGTGGTCGTCGCGCCCCGCGCGGCCCTTTCCCAGGGCAGCAGCGCTGGCTCCAGCTCTGTCAGGGCGTCCGCTGGCATCAGGTCCTTCAACGGCCTGGTCGCTGGTAACAAGGACAACCAGAAGTTCGCCAACATTTTCGCCGTTGAGCACGACATCCAGTCCGCCGTCGCCTCGCACGTCGCCAAGGCGGGCAAGGGCACCCGCGGTGTGGTGACCATGGCAAAAAAGAGCGTGGGTTCGCTGACGGAGGCGGACCTCAAGGGCAAGCGCGTGTTCGTGCGCGCGGACCTGAACGTGCCGCTCGATGCGGACTTCAACATCACTGACGACACGCGTATCCGTGCCGCCGTGCCCACCATCAAGTACCTCATGGAGAAGGGCGCTAAGGTCCTCCTCACCAGCCACCTGGTAAGTCACACAAGCTTTTAAACATGACATTGTCCAGTTATGGCTGCAAAGGGATGCCTAGTTGCTGGGTACACTTTCAACATTAACTACCAAAAATTGTCTGGTTCCATTCCGTTGTATGTATCGAATTTCTGTTCGCAATATTCCTAATGTTCATTCTTTTCCATCCGTCATTTTTCCTTTCCGTTGCTTTTTCCAGGGTCGCCCTAAGGGTGTGACTGAGAAGTTCCGCCTCAACCCGCTCGTGAACCGTCTGTCGGAGCTGCTGGGCATCAAGGTCGTCAAGACCAACGACTGCATCGGCGAGGAGGTCGAGAAGGCCGTCGCCGCGCTCCCCAACGGCGGCGTCGTTCTCCTCGAGAACGTGCGCTTCTACCCCGAGGAGGAGAAGAACGTCAAGGAGTTCGCCGAGAAGCTCGCCGCCAACGCCGACCTCTACGTCAACGACGCGTTCGGCACGGCGCACAGGGCGCACGCCTCCACCGCCGGAGTGACGGAGTTCCTCAAGCCCTCCGTCGCCGGGTTCCTCCTCCAGAAGGAGCTTGACTACCTCGATGGCGCCGTCACCAGCCCCACCCGCCCCTTCGCCGCCATCGTCGGTGGCTCCAAGGTGTCGTCTAAGATCGGCGTGATTGAGTCCCTCCTCGCCAAGTGCGACATTCTGCTGCTGGGCGGTGGAATGATCTTCACCTTCTACCGCGCACTCGGGTACAAGACCGGCGCGTCGCTTGTGGAGGAGGACAAGGTGGAGCTCGCGACGAGCCTGATCAAGAAGGCCGAGGAGAAGGGCGTGAAGCTGCTGCTGCCCACCGATGTCGTCATCGCCGACAAGTTCGCCCCTGACGCCAACTCCCAGGTTCGTTGCCCAAACAGCTCTCTTTTACCTTTCTTGGTCACTCAATGTTTTTTTTCCCCCCTGGGTTGGCTATCATATAATCCGGGATTCTCTCCTTCATATTTGTACTTCGGTACACACATTGGGGCCTCCAATTCCATCAATAAGTGGGTCATTTCAATAAGCTTCGGTTTTCACATCTGCATTGCATAAGGAACTATAACTGATCACAATGTCTACTCTCTCCTTCCTTCCTCACTACAGATCGTGTCGGCCAAGGACATCCCCGAGGGCTGGATGGGTCTCGACATTGGCCCTGATTCCGTCAAGACGTTCAACGAGGCGCTCGACACCTCCAAGACCGTCATCTGGAACGGCCCCATGGGCGTGTTCGAGTTCGACAAGTTCGCCGTCGGTACCGAGGCTGTCGCGAACAAGCTCGCGGATTTGAGCGGCAAGGGCGTGATCACCATCATTGGTGGCGGTGATTCCGTGGCGGCTGTTGAGAAGGTGGGAGTGGCTGAGAAGATGAGCCATATCTCCACTGGTGGCGGTGCCTCCCTGGAGCTTCTCGAGGGCAAGGTGTTGCCAGGTGTCGCTGCTCTCAACGACGCCTAGATGCTCGTAAATAGTTATTTTTGACCTTCTCACAGTTTTGTACAATTTTCGCATTCAAATGAAAACGAATTATTCATATCATGTGCCACGTCTGTAATCAGTCAGAACCAGACCATGCGCCAAGTGCATCGAATCTTGGATGTGCCACAAGGGAACGGCTCTGGGAGAATTCTACAAATGAAAATGTGTTTAAAGAAGCTGCAAGAGTGGATACTGCACATTTAGCTGGCAGGTACCATTTCTGCTGTCAAATGAGATAAATTCTTGACATCACCTGCAGGAGGATTTCTGAACCGTCACTGGCCGTCGGAGTAGCCTTACATACACTAAGATGGGAAACGTGAAGGTGTACCAAATGGTATTTAACTTGTGAGCTGGATGGCCATTGGGAAACCACAAAGAAGGGAACAGCTTATATGAAAACTTTACCATCAGACACGTGCTCTGAAGGCAAAGTAATTGCCATTGATAGTTGTGCCTTTCAAAACGAAATATCCATGAGCTTCTGTGTACTTCGGCTCTCTGGTTTGGTGATATTATCAAGAACTCCAGATCCTCATCAAAGGAGTCAGGTCAGGGGGGTTTGCACAGTCGGGAAAGTCGAGGCTGGGAAGTTGACGAGAAAGCATGGGCGACGGTTCACGAAGCAATGCAGCGACAGAAGTGGGCAGTAATGTTGCTCGTTCCCCCACGCGATCTGGTTACCTCCTTACTTAATTCATCCCGTCGTCGCATCCAATTCGTTCAGAACGAAGCCTGTCGGGACTCGGAAAATGTCCCGGTCGTCCAGTATGGTTTTCAGAGATCATGGAGTGGTTCCTGCACTAAACAAAGCGGTGGATGCGCGGAAATCGTGTTCAAGTGAATGCATGGGTCACTAATATCCCCCCACCAACAACGCTCTTTCGAATCTGTTGCTTGTCCAACAAGGAACATCCATGGCTCCCTAGATTCTGCAGATTCAGTTGTAACCAGGTCATGCCGAAGGAACATCTGAGAACAAAGGCCCAGTCTAAGACGTGTTTGTGGTTGTGATATTCTCATTATCTTTTTTTCTCGTTAGGCGAATCCTGGTTGCCGTCATACAGGCAAATCCAGGTTTTAGGTCAAACAGGTCGTCAGCACCGACTAGCTATGGGAATGTTCAAGTCGTTTCTCTCCTTCTGTGCTGGGACTACCTTCGGGATCTACGTCGCGCAGACGTACAACTTACCTCCGCTGAGGGTCGTAGTGGACCGTGCGATTGCAGTGGGAAAGCAACTGGAAGACGCATATAGGAAGCGAGACCAGGGTCAAGATCCGGATCAAAGGAACGACAAAAATTAGGATGTTACGTGCCGTTTCTTAGCGCTCATAGTTGTTCCTGCTAACCGGTTCCGCCTCTCGCGCTCCAGTCCGTCCTGCTAGTAGCTGCTGCTCTCAGTAAATGTAGTACATGTCCGATTGTAGGAGCAAAGCCCGAGTGCATTGTGCTCGTGCTTGTATATCTTATATAACTCATATTTTTTACTATAAATATCCCTACCCCTGGAGAAAAACAAATCATCAACCTTCCATCCACCAGCATCTCACTCACCTTCTCCTTGGTCTTTCCCCTGCCTTCATGTCCCCATCCATTCTTGGGTTGCTGGTCACTGCTTAGGAGTCTGTTGATTGTCATATTTGATCTCCGTTACTGTATTTAACGGCTCCTGCCTTCTCTTTGGTTGCAAACCGCATACTCAGATTTCATTGCAAAATGTGAACAAAGTTCTTACCGTACTAAAAGTTGACTTCATTAGGAATTGATGGTAGCCAGTGGTTGTGTACATTAAATAAAATTAATAATCAAGTGGTGAACATGCTACATGGTGGTGTGAACAAGAAGAAGCCACCTTTATGGCGCACACACCTAGTGCGCTAATCATGCAGCTGCTTGCCCTGTGTGTGTCTACGCTCACAGCTTGCAATGCTGCTTTATTCTAAACTTCACCGACTCACTCACCCCTCTTGTCCTTCCTCCTGCCTTTATTGAGCCTGCACAGTGTCAGTGCGTGCCACAGTAGGCAGCTTAGAGTGCCACCTCCACGTGCACATCCTCCTCTCAGGATCGTAATGCCAGAACTTGTTCACCATGAACCGGTTCTTCTTCGCATCCTTCCCCGCAATCCAGTTGTTGTGCAGGATGGTGCATCCGTGCTTCAGGCAGTTCCCAAGCACATCCTCATGGTCCCAGTAGTTGTGAACAGCGCCATTCGGGTACACCTTGCGGTCGAGGAAAATGGTTCGCAGGCCGTTTTGCCACCGGCACTCCTCCTTTCCAGCCACCAGGTTCTCCCCCTTCACTCCGCACAGAATGTCGTAAAAGCTCGGCTGCTCGGACAGCTTAGTCGTGGCGGCATGCGCTGTGATCGCCTCGAACGCCTCAATGGTCTTGGGATCAGACCTAGCGAAGTAGAACCCTGAGTTGATCCGCCGGATCCCCGTGCCTGGAATCGACCCGTTGGGCTCGTTGCTCTGGATTGGGAAGGTGCCCGGGCCGTAGCTGAGGAGGTCTGGGAGAGGGTCGGAGAACCAGACGATGTCCACGTCGGTCCAGAGCACGGAGTAGCCCTGCTTGAGCACCTTGAGCACGGAGCGCGACTTGAGCTTGGTGAACTGCCGGAAGCACTGGCTGCCGAAGACACAGTCCTTGGAGTTGAGTCCCTGGTACCCCACACTCACCTGCACAGACGGAAGGGAGGGAAGGAAAGGCAAGGAAGGATGGGGGTTAGGAAAAACGAAGGAGGGAAACGACAGGGCGATGGGCAGACAGACGGTACTGTGCGGGACGACATCAGGTAAGGAAAGGAAGAAAAGCGAGAGGGGGTGGATCTGGGCGGCACTGTGCGCTCACCTGCTCGTGGTACACTGCGAGCCCCTGCGAGAAGGCGAATCGGTACAAGTCCTCGTCGAGCGCGGCAACCACGAGGTTATCCGCGAGACCCAGCCCGCGCAGGCGGCACACGAAGCTCATGAGCATCTCCGCGTACCCCATGGTCACCGCCACGAGGATCACCACCTTCAGCCCGCCCACCTCGCGCGCCACCTGTGGAAGCAGCTGCGCCGACGTGTGCGGCAGCCCCACCGCAGATCCCGGCGTGGGAACGGCCTGGATCGAGTAATCCGCCTTCTTATCGACGGACACGCTGCCGCAGGTCCATCTGCGGCCGGACGGATCGATCTTGGGGTCCGACTGGCTGATATCGACGAAGTTAGAGTATTCGCACTGGCAGGTCGCGGGGCGCAGGCGGCGCTGCAGGCACATGTTGTTGACGGCCGGCTCGAAGCAGGAAGACATTTTCCACGGCACGTGAAGCGCTGTCCCGAGCTGGTTGGAGTAAGAGCCGTGGGTTTGCGCGAGGTGGATGTTTGCGAAGAGCTCCCAGCTGCTCTTCTTCCGCGTGCTCCAGAAGTTCTTCCCCGCGAGTGCCGCCGCGCCGTTCTTCGTCTCCGCGGATTCCGTCACGTGCGAGTAGGAGTGCGCCACGTGGATGGACGTCACCGCGTCGCTCGCGTCGACGACTTCGCGAAGGCCCGATGCGACGATCTCGTGCGTGAACCAGTTGTCGTACTTGCCGCGCCCGAACGCGAAGGGCGGCATGATACCCGTGTGCAGCTGCACGGGGGAGTTATTCCACACCCAGAAATCCACCCCGCCATAAGTATGCAGCGACCCCTTGGTCCGCGCGTACTCGGCGATTTCCTTCTCGAGCGCCGCGGGGCCGCGGCTCCGCGCATTCGCCCACATGGAGGGGAAGAAGGTGTACGGGAAATCCTCCGCCACGTCCCACCGCGCCGCGGTCATCACCCAATGCGGGAACGCCTTGTGAACCTTGTTGATAGCATCGAGGACGTTGTTAAGGAGGATGATATCGCCGTTGATGATCATCGACAGGTCCGTGTCCGCCGCCTGCGCGCGCGCCACAATACTGTGAAACTGCGGCAGGCCGTAGTAGTTAGTATCGATAGCGGACTCCACGGAGACCTGCTTCGGGAAGCGACGCGCGAGCTCGGTGAAGGTCGAGTCGTTCCCTAGAAGGACGATCTTCGGCGACGGCGTGAGGCGCAGCCAGGAGCGCAGCGCGCGGAGCTGGTTGTCCGGCTGCGGGTCCTTGGGATCGAGAATCGACGAGTAGGGCTTCGGCGAGCAGAAAATGGTGAGAGACGGAGCCGCCGCTACCGGAGTGTCTTGCGCAGCAGGCGTCGAGACAAGACTGCCGAAGATGCTGCTGAAGGATCGGGCTTTGCTCGGACTTTTGGTGCGCTTGCTGGCCGCCGCCGCGATCATCTCTGCTTCCGCTTGCTTTTGCTTCTTCGCGAACACGGATTTGCCGTTTGACGAAGATGACTTTGAGTTCGGCGAATTGCGCTTGAAGAGGGTAACCCGGCTTTGCTTCGCCACGAGTACGCCATCCTCGTTGGTCGCGAATCCTGAGTAGGAGAGGCGCTGCTCGCAGGAAACGAGCGTCGCGGCGGAGATCAGGAGGAGGAGCGCCGTGACCGAGGCTCTTGCTGGTGGCATTTGCCACTGCCGCATAACGGTCACCATGCCGATACTACGTGCGAACTTGCGTAGACACGGAAAAGGCACAACCTTTACCAGTAGGGAGAACGATAGTTCTCTGAGTCACGAGCACTGGAATGAAAGGAAATATTAGGTCGAGTGCTAAGCGGCGAAATGCTGGAGGACCTTGGCTGATTAGAATCTCCAAATGCTTGTAGTTCGCTCCTTTCGCTTCTTTGTAGCAGTAAATGATCTGAGATGCTTCAGCCTGAAGCTCCAGATTGACTTTAAGTAGTGAGTGCGCACAGGTTTAGTCACCGAGTGGGCTGGATTTGGGTGACAACTGATTGATGAGGTCAGCATGGAGCTACCCCCGCCAATGGCTAGTTGGTGGGTGGGAGTGAGGGGAGGAGCTTGCCCCCAATGTGAGGCAGACATGCGGCGCGGGAATACGCATGCACGACATGGGACTGTGAACACCCTGGTTAGCTGTCTGGGGACGCCTGGTGGCTCGAGGGGGGGAGGAAATTGTTTTGTTGAGTTATCTACGGCTGTCATGTTCGGGACTGCAAAATTCAACGGGTTGGATTTTGGCTAGGAAGAATGCTTTGAGGCGCTTCGGAGAGTATGGAAACAGCACAGCCACACTTCTTGCGAACCTGTGCCGACATGTGTGCGCGAGTGGTTGTGGCTGTGACCGACAGTTTAGACGACAACATCACGAGGAGGGCAAAATTTCCCCCGCCCATACGTCCGCGAAGAGTCAAAGCTGTCTTTGCGAAAGACAATACGTCTCGCAAATTTGGAAGGCGACGTAGCTGACGGTCTACAATGCCGGCGAGAATCCTTGTTTCGTTGGATTCACGGAGTATGGCGAGGTTACACCCGTCAGGTGAGAGAGCTCGGCTGTGAACAGCTGGGATTAAGGGGCACGGAAGGCTTGGAAGAACCTCATTACTATCAACCAGTAATAGATATGGGGAGATTTGTACTTCCAATTGAAGAAGTGTAAGCTTCGGTCGGGTATAAAATGAATGGGATAAAATGTGGCACTTTGTCTCTAACTGCACGTGTAAGACATAGTTTCGTTCGTATACTGCTTCTTTAATCCTTCACAATATCCTAATCAGCTTGACAAGTCGATTAAAAAAAATTGAACATACCTAGTACAAAGCTCGAGTACGTCAAAATGAGTTGAAAGTTAGCACAGCACACCCTAAGAGCGTGCTCCTACGGGCCCCTATCAGGCCAAACTAGTATCAGGCTTGCACGAATCACTGACATTTCGGCTTAAGCTGACTGCTTAAAATGAGTTTTTTAGTGGCTTCGCAGAGTGCGAGCGAAAATGCTGATGTGGCATGAAACAATGGGGTACGGAACTGTAGTTCTTCTGTCTCGGTTTGAAACAAAATCAGGGAACCAGTCAACTGAATCAATCCGCACGAATTTGGTGCAGCAGCCCCATACTCGACAATACACGGCTGCATTCTCGCATTTTCATGGTTTTGGATTGACGTGGATTTCTGTTGTGCCAGGTCTGAAACTTCACGCGCGGGAACTCAAGTCGCACAATATTAGATTCTTTGTTCATGAAATCAGTGAGTTATAACGAAAATCTCGAGTCTTAGACGCGCTCTGTTGCGTCTTCAAGCGTTTGAAGAGCCGGCCGGGGGATGAAGCCGCTACCCTCCTACTCTTGGCTTTTCCGCGCCTCATCCTAGCCGTGCCTCCCAAGCCAGGCATAGGACAGAAGGCGCTGATCATAGAGCGGTTGGGGGCGTTTTGGGAGGGGAGGTGGCGGGAGCTGTTCGACTCCGCCATGGTGGCGGCGCGGCCAGCAGTACGCCCACTTGCCTACACTTGCTCTGACCAGGACCCGGATGCCATCCGCCTGTCACGGTGCCGATCTCGGTGTAAAGTGGGAGAGTGGAGCCGCGGATTGGCTTGCCTTACGGCAGGGGAGTTGGCCCGGCCGTCTGAGGCCATGGTGCAGTCGCTGCGAGAGAAGCACCCTGCTAGCACTAGCGAGGTACCACAGTGGGTCCGTGATTTCACCGTCGATGCTCCTCAGCGGCCTCCACTCACGGCCGACATCCTGGCCAGAACTATCCATACAGCCGCTCGCGCTTCAGCAGCAGGGCCATCGGGGTGGGTCACGGAGCATCTGCGCGACACCTTCCTCACTGAACCTTCCTGCCTTTCCCACCTGTTGGAGGTGTTCAACCAATGGGTGGCGGGACAGGTCCCCGAGCGGGCTCGGCCCTGGCTCGCCGCATCCAACCTAGTTGGGCTTTCCAAGCCTAACGGCGACGTCCGGCCGGTCGCGATTGGGGAAGTGCTTCCGCGTATCCTTGCTCGAGCTCTCTGCATCTCGCTCCGCCCTGCGATGGCTTCCTACTTTCTGCCGTGCAACCAGCTGGGAGCGGGCACCAGGGCCGGGGTAGAGATTCTTACCCATTCTTTCCGGTCAGCGCTGGCTACTCACCCCGACTGGTGTGCGCTGCAGATAGATGTTGCGAACGCTTTCAATTCGTTTCACCGTCATGCGATGTTTGAGGGGCTGCGGGAGTCGCCTTTCTCAGGGTTGATCCCATTCTTACGTGTTTTCTACGGGACACCTAGCGACCTGTACCTCCGAGCGGGCCCTTTTGTACAGAGCCTTGAGTCGGCACGAGGATCGCGGCAGGGGGACCCGCTCGGCCCTTTTCTTGTCGCGTTCACGCAGCAGCGGGTGATGGAGTCGGTGACTAGAGAGTTCAGGGACCTACTTTTCCTGAGCTACGCAGACGATACCTATATCCTGGGACCGGCGGCTAGGATTCTAGAGGCGTTTGGGGTGCTGCGGGAGCGGTTGGAATGGGTGGGGCTGGAGGTGCAGGCGCACAAGTGCCGGTTTTGGGAGCGCGAGGGCGGGGATGTGGAGCTGGCACTGCCATTGGGGATGCAACGGGTGGAGGAGGGTCTCACTGTGGTGGGCGTGCCTATTGGGGAGGAGGGTTGGGAGGTGACCCGGTTACGGGAGCGGCTTAGACAGTTGCAGGCGCCATTGCCATGGCTCCCCCTGCTCGACCACCCCCAGATGGCTTCACATCTCCTCGCCATTGCAGTTTCAGCACGGCCGATGTACCTGGCCTGGACTATGCCGCCGCGTCCGGAGGTGGTGGAGGCCTTCAGGGATTGGGATAGCTGTCTGGAGGATTGCTTTGAGCACCTTTTCCCACCTGGCACTTGGGAGCATGACCCCGACCGGTCTAGGCGCGCGCGCATGCAGCTGCATCTCCCTGTGCGACTCGGAGGGTTTGGGATCCGGGCAGCGGCCTCTTTGAGTCCGCTGTCCTATGTTTGTGGGTGGGCACAGGCCGCGCGTTATGTTGCACAGTTGGGGGTGGCGGGCGAGGAGGCGATATTTGCGGAGTACCTCACCACTTCGGCAGGGGCGGAGTTTCTTGACCCGTGGTTTGCCAAGGCTCTTGAGCAGCTGCCTGCGACTATACGCCAGGAGATGCCGGGCTTACCTCTGTGCGTAGCGGCCCCTCCTCTTCAGCTTTTCCAGGCGCGGCAGCGGTTGTTGGCGGTAGAGGAGCTCCAGACACTGCGTCGCTCGGCTCGTGACGATGCCACCCTGGCCCGTTTCACATCCCTTCAGGGCCCGGGGGCTGGTGCATGGGTTTCGGCGGTTCCGGCTCACTCAGATCTCACATTCACTGCGGCGGAGTGGGGCATTGCTGCTGCTATACGGCTCGGGCTCCCAATTCAGCAGCTGCAGGTGGCGGGGAGGTGTGTTTGTGGCACAGCATATGTTGACTCAGCAGACCCGCATCATGCCCTGAGATGCAAGCACCAGCATGGTCCATCTCGGGTACATGATGAGGTGAAGTTTGCGGTGGCGAAGATCTCTAAGGCGTCTGGGGGGGTGGTGACAATGGAGGATAGTGTGGTGCTGCAGGGGAAGCGGGTTGATGTGGCGGTGCGACGACCAATGGCTGGAGAGGCTCACGCCCTGGAGATCAGCGTCGCGGACCCGCTATCGCTGTCTCCATCTTTGCTAGGACAGTGCGGGCGTCAAATAGGCGTGGCGGCAAGAGAATGGGAGCGTCGTAAAACGAGCGATTACGCGCCTCTGCTTGCACGCAACCGGGGCGTGCAGTTCACTCCTCTGATAGTGGAGACGTGGGGGTGTCTCGGCGGTCGCTTTCGGAGGTGGCTTCGTCAGCAAGGAGATGCGCACGTGGGGCTAGCTGTGTCGCGGGGGGCTTGTCGGGAGGACGACACTGTGTTTTCGGCTTATCTTCTAGGGTCACTGAAGGCGCTCATCGGGGTGGCGTTGCAACGTGCGCAAGCCCGTGTCATCCTGCTTCGAGCGGCGTCTTCTATGGGGGGGATTAACGTTGACTTGGTGGACCGGGAGTGGGACGATGGCGATGCGGAAGGCGGGGCTCTCTGGGTGGAGGCCCCGTACATGGTGGATTCGCTGTTGTGATTGGGGGGGGGGGGGGAAATGGGGTGTGGGATGGGATGTCTTGACAGGGTGTCTTGACTGGGCGTTTTGATTGGGTATCTTGAGGGGGGGTTTTATGTGTGTTGCATTTGGGTTCTTCTTGGCGGTTTCACTTTCCTTCTCCCTTTCTCTTTTCTTTTCTTTTCTTCGTCAAATGTATACTCCTGCTTAAAAAAAAAAAAAAAAAAAAAAAAAAAAAAAAAAAAAAAAAAAAAAAAAAAAATCTTGAGTCTTGCTGAAGCTGATATCAGGTTGGCCTGACTAGAGGCCGTAGGAACACGCTCTAAAAAGAGAGGTGCAATAGGTTGCGGAGACCATTGTACCCGCGAAAATTACACTATCCTTACATCTAATATGCCTGTAGGCCCCCAATCCTTCCTGATTCAGAGAGAATCAACTTGACAAACATAACCAATGCTTGTTACAGAGAATCAAACTGGTCCTGAAAGAATAGTACTCTAAACTGAATCTATCAGCTCTATAACCCCATGAGTCTCTCTACCTTCCCCTTCTCTGCATCCCTCCTTGACCTTGCCTGCCTCCCCCCCGTCCCGCTCCACCACTTCTCCCCCAACCAGCACTTCTAGACTCCTCTTCCCCAATTCCTCTCCTCCCTATCCCAGAGTCCTGCCGCCTTCCACCCCGTGCTGGCCCTCCACCCATTGCTCTTCTCCTCCTCCTCGCCTCAAACTCTCTCTCCCTTTTTGCCATTTCTTCTTCTCGTGCCAGCTTAGTGAGGCTTGGCCGGTAAAGCAATGCTGTACGGCCAATCAGACCCACCACTTGTGCTGCTAGTTTCTCCTCCAGGATCTGCCCCACCTCCCACGCCTCATCCGGGCAGTTGTCAGATATTTTTATCTGAGAAGTACATGAGAAAAGGGCAAGGGTACGGGAGGGATTTAAAAAACCTTGCCACCTGGGTGTGGAACAAAGGGGTAGAAAAACAACTGGAATTTAGGGGGCTATAGAAAAGGGTGTGGCATGAAAAATTTGGCAGACTTTCACCTTGAGCAATTCGTGCTTCTCCAGGCCATCATGCAAGGACGAGATGACTGTAGATGTCACTCCCCACTTGCCAATCTGCACGCAATCAAGACGTGACAGACAAAGCCACACACAGGCAATGCGAATGTAGGAGGAACTTGAACTGACCTTGAACTTGACACCACACCCAACCACTTTAGGGTAAACCTGACCCTTCATAAACCCTTGAGTTGAAGAGGTTAAAAAACCCTGATTTACTTGAAGGTCTCACTCGGGAGAGGGCTCACTCGAGGGAGGTCTCACCTGGTGCGTGCTGATCCGGCTGCCCAAGCGGTGCGCATACGCGCGGAGCTCCTTCCGCTCCGCGTTCCCCAGCTTCCCCCCCAGCGGCCCTGCGGGCACTCCCTCTCCCCCTGGCGCCGACCCGCCTTCGCCCCCCGCCAACCAAGACTGGCGGTTAGACGTAACCGTGCTGCTGCTGTTCCTGGTGGTGCCGTACTCGTTACTGCTTCTGTCGTACGCGCTACTGCTGCTGCTTTTATTGAGTATATCCAATGGTGCAGATACACGGCCGTCGTCTAGCCAGCTATCGTCGCCGTTCATCGCGTTGCCGTTCAGCCAATCCTCACCGTCGCCTTCATCGAACCCGTCTGTCTCATCCCCCTTATAAGCACGCCTCGATAACGCACTAACGTAACCCAAGTCTCCTTCAGATTCTCCGTCTGATTTCCTGCTACTCGCTCGCCCGGAACCCACGAATGCGTAACACCGGGTCGACCTCGCGCGGTGCCACGTGTCCAGAAAAAGTGTCGCGCGCGAATACCTCCCCCGCGTCCCCCAGCTCCCGCGCAAATGCGTAACAGTGGCGGCGGAGAAATCCTGCGCGCGCGCACCTGTCGCGCGTAGAACCGTCCCACTGTTCGCGCAAGCAGTGACCGCGTTAGTGTAACTTAATGCATTACTAGCACTGATCGCGTTATTCGCACTCATCGCGTCGGTAGAGCTGATCGCCTTTCGAAAGCTCGCTCTAGCGCTGCTGGCCGTGACGTTACGGGTGCCACTCGTAGCAGCAGAGATTAGAGACGCGGTGGTTGCAAGTCGCGAGGATGCTGCTGCGGCAGCCATGGCTGTCGGTCGAAACAATTAGGAATGGGCGAGACAGGAAGTGCAAATAGGTGAAGGGTTTGAAGCAGACTCTTTATAAGCAGGACGGTACGCCGACACAAATTACATTTTGATTGCTGTCTATGTATCAGGAGAGTAAACAGTGTTATATGGACAGTTTGTACTCCCCTTAACTGTTTCAACGGCCATGATTCCTTTTCTGGATCCCCTGATGGCAAAAATCCACTCATTTAAGGTACGGTGAAAACAAAGCGGAAAAAAGCTGCTAAGCAATGTGTTACTGGATTTACATACAAGCAAAATGAAACTGACATAAGCGGCGCATGGAGAAATCAGGGCCTGTATTAGAGTTTATGTAGGCAGGCCCTCCAAACAAGGATGAAAGTCACATCACCAGACTAGATCAGAGCAGACCAGTCCAAATCAGGTCACACCACACCACACCACACAAATATTTCATAATAGCAGCATGAGATGAGAACACATTTGATTGATTACAACCACCAGATCACAGCAAAAGTGAACCCGCCCAACTGCCAGAGCGTCAGTCTGTGAGACAGTCAGTCTCAGGTTGTGAGAGAGCGAGAAAGGGAGGCTCTCATCGCAAGCAATAAGAGGCTCTTGATGTAACACAGTAGTCAGGCGGTCATATGCAGAAACTGAGGGCGGACGAACAACCCGGCCGTACAAGGGCGAGAGGAGAGGAGGATCGCTTTTGAGTCTATTCAAAGGGGGGAGGGTGCGAGACTGAGAGCATGAGGGTGAGAGGGTCAGAGTCTCAGAGAGTGTGCTGGATGGTTTGTCGCCGTCACACCACGCGTAAGCGGTGAAACCAAATTTCTCCAAGTTCCCGCAACACAGCAGTCAGAGCGTCACATACAGAGAGTGAGATTAGTCTCAGGTTTGAGACTCAGAGGGCACGGTGGATGGTTTGGCGGCGGCACACCTCGCACAGGCAGTGAGAGACTCTTGTTGCAACAGAACAGTGTGAGAGAGTGAGAGGGCACGAGGGTGGGAGATCCAGAGGGTCAGAGGGCACGATGAATGGTTTGGCGGCGCCACACCTCGCGCAGGCAGTGAGAGGCGCTTGTCGCGACACAGCAGAGTGGGAGAGGATGCGAGGGTGCGAGGGGTGCGATGCGAGACTCAGTCTCTGAGATCAGAGGGCGCGGTGGATGGTTTGGCGGCGCCACACCTCGCGCAGGCAGTGAGCGAAGTGAGAGATTCTTGTCGCGGCACAGCAGTCAGACTGTGAGGGGGTGCGAGTCTCGGGTCACACGGCAGGATGGATGGTTTGTGGTGTCTCACTTTTCACAGACGGTCAACCCTCATACTTCCCGACTACTTGATCTCAGGGGTGGCAGACTGTGAGAGGGTGTGAGTCTCGGATCAGAGAGCACGGTGGATGGTTTGCCGCCGGCACACCTCGCGCAGGCGGTTCAGCAGCTTCTCAGGCGTCAGCGGCTTGCTCAGGAACTCGTCAAAGCCCTTCTGCGCGCATTTCACCATGTTGCCATCTGGGGAAGAGAGAGGAGAGGGCAGGAAAAGGTTGGGAAGCGAGGGCGAAGTGACTTAAGCAGCCTGCTCAGGAACTCGTCACAGCCCTTCTGAGCGCATTTCACCATGTTGCCATCTGCGGGGGAGAGGGGAAAAGAGGGGGGCGGAAGGTGAGGACGCCAGGGGTGGGTGCGCCGGGCCGGTGGGACAGAGAAGAATGGACAGAGATGTGTGTGGCGGGGTGCCACCAACACTCAATTCACCTCACACACCCCCGCGTTAAGACCCCAAAAAAGCGCTCTCACCTGAGACATGAGCTGTCACAGCAAAGATGAGAGGGGCCTGCCGTCGCGGCTCTGCCAGCTCCTCCCACTCTCTGAACTGCTCCACCGCCTTGATCCCATCCATGACAGGCAAGTTCAGGTCCATCAGCACCAGGTCAAACTGCGGCGCCACCTCTCACTCTCTCCACACACAACCCAACCACGCATTAAGCACCCGGAAAGCCACTCTCTCACCTAAAACGTTGGCAGTGACAGCAAAGATGAGAGTGGCCTGCCGCCGTGGTTCCGCTAAATCCTCCCACTCTCTGAACTGCTCCACCGCCTTGATCCCATCCATGACAGGCATGTTCAGGTCCATCAGCACCAGGTCAAACTGCGGTGTTTGTGTGTGCCTCTGTGTCTCTTTTTTTCCCCACACACAACCCACTGTCTCTCACCTGAGACATTGGCAGTGACGGCAAATATGAGCGTGGCCTGCCGTCGCGGCTCTGCCAGCTCCTCCCACTCTCGGAACTGCTCGACTGCCTTGATCCCATCCATGACAGGCATGTTCAGGTCCATCAGCACCAGGTCAAACTGCGGGGCCACCTCTGCGCCCTCCTCCGCGCCCCCTGCGGCCGCCACTGCTGCCTCCTGCGCCTGCAGCTCCAGGTCTGTGCCGCCCCGCATGAGGTCAAGAGCGTCACGACCGTTGCGTGTGAGCGTGACGCGACAAGAGAGGAGTTCGAGAAGTTGGCGGCTGATGGTGCAGTTGACTATGTCGTCTTCAACAACCAGGACCTGGGGGAAAGGTGAAGCGGAGAGCAGGGGAAGAGGGAGTCGGGAGCGCAAGAAGGAAATTGGAGAGGGGTGGAGAGAGGTGGAGAGGGGGTGTGGTGCCTCCTGTCCCCCTGCAGCCTCCTGCGCCTGCAGCTCCAGGTCTGTGCCGCCCCGCATGAGGTCGAGGGCATCGCGGCCGTTGTGTGTGAGTGTGACACGGCAGGATAGAAGTTCCAGGAGCTGGCGGCTGATGGTTCAGTTGACCATGTCGTTCTCTACCACTAGGACCTGGGGGGGAAGGGGAAGGGGAGAGCAGCATAGAAGAGGGTAAACGAGAGAGGCGAGAAGAGCGGTGGAGAGGGGTGGAGAGGGGTGGAGAGGGAGTGTGGAGCCGTGTGCACCGTGGACTCAACACTCAACCATAAAGATTTGTGCCACTCGACATTGAACCCTGCACGCACCTTGAAGCCGCGAATAAGCTTCTTGTCCTCCTCAGGAAGCGACTCCAGGAACGCCGACCCCCCCGTGAACGACTTGGCTCCCCGCGCTCCCCCCAGCTGGGTGGACGCCGTCAGAGGCAGCGGGCTCCATGGCTTGGACACCGTCAGCACTCCGCCGCCCACTCCGCCGCCCGCTGCTGCCCCTCCTCCTCTATCCCCCCCTCTCTCTCCTCCTCGTGCTGCTCGGTCGCCGCCTCGAGGGGAGAGGGAGAGGCCAAAACCGGCAGAGGAAGCGCCACTGGCTTCAAGAAAGAGGGTCTTGGTGGGCCCGCCTGCGCTCCCCCCTCGGCTCAACCCCACCCGTTCTCTCCTCTCACCCTTCTCTCCCCTCTCCCCCCTCTCTCCTCTCTCGCCTCTCTCGCCCCTCTCTCCCCTTTCTCCTTTCTCCCCCCGCTCGCCTTTTTCTGCCGAAGTTCCTCCGCCATCCCCCCCGCCTCTGCCCCCTTTAAGGCGCTCGTGGGATTTCGGCACGCTTCTCGAGCGATTGTATTGGCTGGGATCGGGCACGGGCAGGTGGAAAAGTTCCTCCCGAGAAATTTTCGAAGCGGTTGCTGACCGTTTGTAAGGAGGGGCGTTTATGCTCCGATCCACCACACTCCCACTATCGTCCTCATCCTCGTCCCCTTCTTCCTCCTCATCCTCCCCCTCCTCTTCCTCCTCTTCCTCTTCCTCTTCCTCATCCTCCTCCTCCTCATCATCGTCATCATCTAACACTTTCCGAAGCGTTTCTGCTGTAGGTCCGTCCAGCACCGAACCAACGCCCGAACCTGCACCCGATCCTGCTTTCTTCTTCACCTTCTGCCCCGTGTCAAAAAACGACCCCGACCCTCCTCCCGCACCGCCCCTCCCGTCCCGTAAATCCACCCCTCGCCCCTCCATCCCCCTCCCATCCAGCCCTCCACTTCCCCCCATAGCCCGATCCAAAACAGCAGCGCGACGCGCAGCAGCAGAGGCAGAGGAGGAGGAGGAAGCAGTGGCACCTACACCAGATAACCCCTTCCCCATGCCCATTCCGCCCATCCCCATGCCCATCCCGCCCATGCCCATCCCCACGCCCATGCCCATGCCCATGCCCATGCCAAGGCGGGTGGAGGAGCCGTGGGAGGCTGATGCTGCTGCTGCTGATGCCTGTCGCTCCATCTCAACTCGCATCTTCACAATCTGCTGCACCTCCTCGTTGGAGTCCAGACTGCTGTTGTGGGGGAGGCGCGTGAGGGAGGGTGGGGGAGGGGAATGGGGCAAATCAGGTGAAGGGACGTTAAGTTTGGAGACGTCTCAAAGCACCATGATAACTGCAAACAACACCGCACAGCACTGCACCACGACACACAGCACCGTACCTGTTCTGCTGGCTGGACTCCTTGGAAAGCCCGTCCATCTCACTATTGTATTCCCACAGGTTGTTCAACAGCCGCCGAGCATACGCCCCCTTCTCCTCATTCCCCTCCTTCACCGTCCCCAGGTGCTGCCCCCACGCCTTCTCCCCCTTCCGCCCCCCCACGCCCTCCCCTCCGCTCCCCCCTCCCCCTGCGCCTCCCCCCGCCCCTCCCCCTCCTCCGCCCCCTCCCCCGCCCCCCTCCTCCCCCCCCACCCCAGTTCTTCCCAGCGCCTCCTCCAGCTAGGTCCAGGCGCATGGTCTCAAGCTTCCTTCTGAATTCTTCCATTTCCGAAGGGGTGCGGAACGGTAGAGAGGAGAACGCAGAGAGTAGTTCCGCCCCTTCCCCTCCCCCACCTGCCCCTAGCACCCCGCCGCCTCCCCCTCCTCCGCCTCCCCCCAACCCCTTCCCGCTGCTGCCCAATCCGCCCCCGCTGCCGCTGCTGCCTCCGCCACCTCCCCCTCCTCCACTCCCACCCAGCACTCCTGCTGCTCCCCCTCCACTGGTGTTGGGGCGGCGGCGTAATGACGACTCCAGGTCTTTAATCTCTAGTCCTAAACCCAGGCCCATACCTACTCTGTGTAAACTATCCTTTGAAGTCTCTAGTCCTAGTCCCATGTGCAAACGCGTGAGAGGGGAAATATCCCTATCCCTGTCCCTATCTCTATCTCTATCCCTGTCTCTCTCCCTCTCTCTATCTCTATTCCGTGGTAAAGACAAGCTACTGATTACACTACCGCCACCACCCCCACCACCCACACCCACTCCCCCAGGACCCCCTAAATCATCGGAAATCAGCCCGCCCCCACCCAAACCACCAGTACTTAAACTCCCACCGCCCAACCCTCCGCCACTTAAACCACCGCCACTCAAACCACCCACACTTAGACTTCCCCCGCTCAAACCTCCCCCGCCTAAACCTCCCCCGCCTAAACCTCCCCCACTCAAGCCGCCGGCACTTAAGCCGCCCGCGCTTAGGCTGCTGCCGCCCATGCCGCCCGGGCGGCGCTTGAGGGCGGCGGCGATGGTGTGGGGGCTGGAGGGGGACTCCATGGGGGAGAGCAGCGTGGACGGGGACATGGTGAGATCGGATGACCAGTTGTCCAACGACTGGGGGGGGAAGGAGGGGGTTGGAGGGGGTGAAGAAGAGAGACAAGAGGAGGGGGTGAAGAGAGACAAGAGGAGGGGGTTAAGAGAGACAAGAGGAGGGGGTGAAGAGAGACAAGAGGAGGGGGTGAAGAGAGACAAGAGGAGGGGGTGAAGAGAGACAAGAGGAGGGGGTGAAGAGAGACAAGAGGAGGGGGGGATGGACGGATCCGTATAATGATGATCGAGTGGGGGCTGGAGGCTGATGCGAATGGGGACGGTAAAGGGACGATGAAAGAAGATAAGAGGAGAGGAGCGGTAGGTAAGGAGAGTGGTCGAGGGGAAAGGAAGCGAGAAGAGGGGAGAGGGAAGGAGCACTCACCAGAGGGGCTGAGGAGTCGTCAGTGACAAACTCGATCCATGCAAACCACCTGATGGCATGGGGGGCATGGGGTCATGATACGAGGCATGGGGGGCAGAGGGTCATGATACGAGGCATGGGGGGCAGAGGGTCATGATACGAGGCATGGGGGGCAGAGGGTCATGATACGAGGCATGGGGGGTAGAGGGTCATGATACGAGGCATGGGGGGCAGAGGGTCATGATACGAGGCATGGGGGGCAGAGGGTCATGATACGAGGCATGGGGTCATGATACGAGGCATGGGGTCATGATACGAGGCATGGGGGGCAGAGGGTCATGGTATGAGGCATAGGGTATGGAGCATAAGGGAAGCGTGCATGGGTACATAATCGAAGGAGCATGGGTGCATGGGTAGTCAGACAGACATCGGGGAAACCCCCATGACAGCAAGCATACATTCACGACTCACCTTGCCCCCACTCACACCACACCACACCACACCACACCACACCACACCGCACCACACCACACCGCAAGGCACCACACCACACCACACATCACACACAATCACCTCGCGCCCAGAGCCCTCCCAGTGGCCTGCACCGTCGCGTAGCTCCTGTTCCGCCGCAACCGCCGATAAAAGACGCACTGGCCGCCCGCACTGCCGCCCGGGCTGCTACCCAGCGAATCCCCAACGCCCACCCCTCTGGGACTCCCAGCTGACCCGGATCGGAACAGACGTGAAGCAGCAGAGGCGGTGGGCGGCGTGAGGGAGAGGGGCGGCGACCGGCGGTCGTCTAGCAAGCGGCGGTCTTCTGTCAAGCGGCGGTCGTCTATCATGCGCTGGATGCGTGGCAGGTCGTCTGCATGGCACGCTGCAAAGGCATGCTCCCCCACCAGCTCTGCCTGGCGCCATCCTAGCGTGGCGCGCACACTGGGAGACACGTAGCACAGCCGCCACTGAGAGGGGGGCAGAAGAAGAAGATAGAGGTGGGGAAAGGGGAAGGGGGTTATGCAAGTGGATGCGGGGGTTGGGTGAGAAGAGAGGAAGGGGAAGAAACTGGAAGAATGGTTGGAAACAGGCTTGCAACCATCCCAAAAATCCATGCAAAGCACCGCATGGCACCACCTTGCACCGCACCACACCGCACAGCACAGCACGAGCGTCGAACCCCATTCTGACTCACTTGCCACATTAGCATCGTCCTATATGCCAACCACTGCTTACATTTGTCCTATCTGCCACGTAGACAGTCCATGGTGACGTGGCAGAGAGGAGCAGCATGTCCGTGACCAGCGAGAGATCTAGGCCGTCCACTGGAGATAGGGGATCATCTGATGGCCAGGAGTCCACCCCACCACCTCTGGAAAGCAGGTACGCACGGGGAAAAGTGAGGAAGGAACAAAGCAATTTCTAAATTGTGCCTCATGCAGCATTCCCTGCGACTAACGTGTGTAGCTGCTTTACAAAAACAGCTATATTACCTACGTAAGTCATACTCGCTATAAGTTCATACTCGCTACAGCAACAATCACAGGCGGGGCTTGCCAGGGATAGCAGTGGCAGCCGGGGCAGAGAGTCTGGTGGCGTCCGCGCCTATGGGCGAGCAGCACAGCGCGCCGAGCTCGCTACTCTAGAGGCCCCTCAAAAGACACTCACAGGCGGGGCTTGCCGGGGATGGCAGTGGCAGCCGGGGCAGAGAGCCTGGTGGCGTCCGCGCCTATGGGCGAGCAGCACAGCGCGCCGAGCTTGGTGCCCAGCATCACCAGCTCCTCCAGACAGCGGATCTCGCACTCCAATAGCCTGGGGGGAGGAGGACAGAGAGATTGAGAACGGTTGGAGTGGACTAAG